GTAATTATAATAATAGTTGAACAGATATTAAACTAGCTTAGCTAGCTAGTAGTAATTGTCTATAACAGGGTAAGAGGTGTCCATTGCTATACCACATAGCCCTTCCTTTTGAGGCATGTCCCGTTTCAACCTCATGTACTTGTCATCTCCCCATTTCGTTCCCCACGAGTTTTTCAGGATCCAAAATTTTGTCCCTTCGTCAGTCACACCATAGCCGACCACAGTGATAGCATGACTCAGTTTTGTCTTGCAATCTTCCTCGGAGTACACACCGCCGCAATAGTCTTTGAACCCACAACTAGAGGCGTCCACCGCGACTGTGATCGGCTGATCAACCACCGCCTGCCGCAAGGCTTCCTTGTCATTTGGTTTGACCGTCACGTAACTCGTTATCTGAACGCTCCATTTGGTCCGATTACATGTGGGATTGTGGCGACGGGTAATCGTCCTCGGTTCCCTTGTTATCAATGACGAATTGGTAGGCCCTGTCTGGCCGGCCTCCGGTTTCGCAACTATCCGGCTTGTTATCACAGTCTATCAGTTGTTGCTCCGAAAGGGGGACAAGAATATTCCAAGCGATCTGATTGACGCCCTCCAACGCGGCCATAGCAACGAAAGCCCAACAACTTGCTGAAAATTACACAATATATATATATATATATTATAATTAAGATCATTTTTTTATTTTGTTAACAATGAATAAAAATGTTCAATTAATTTGCACAATTAAATACATACCACAATTCAATTGGTTCTTCACAGGAGTCACCGCACCTTGACCACTCCAGTCCCAACTATCTGAGATATCATTCCTCGGCGGTACATTACTATACCTTGAATTTTTATTCGACCTTGTTTCCATCATGTAACATGATGAAGGATTAAGCTCGCAATCTGAAAACTGGTTGATGCCAAGTTTGTAGCCGCGGTCCGGTCTTGAGTTGAAAGCTTCGATTTCCAACCACTTCTTTCTGAACGCGGCAAACTGCACCGCCCTCTCTTCGTCATCTTTGTACACTCGGCCATGTTCAACCATCCACATCTTGAATTCTTGTTCCAGCTCAACGGAGCTGTGAACACTAACTAGGATGAGTAGGAAAATATATATTATTATTACTTCCATTGAGGTTGAGAGAGGCATTGTAAAATGGATATATTATTATTATTATGGTGCGGGTTATATAGCTTATGGTGTGGGTTATGGCTATATATAAACATAGAAGAGAGAGAGAGAGTTTCGCATGCATCAGCGAGGTCGCCTATCCTTTCTTTCTACCCTTTATTTTTTATTTATTTATTTATTATTATGTAATTAATATTAATAAAGGCTGTTTGCCAAAACTTATTTCCATTAGTTTTAACAAACCATTTAAGGACCGAGTATTAAACTACTGCGTTTTGTGATAAGTAGTACGTACCCCGTGCGATGCACGGGACGAAGATATTAAATGAGTTATTTTTACAGTCTTGTCTGTTTAATTCTAAAAAGTAATAATGTTATTATCTATTTTCTACCTCTTTTAATCAACGTTAAGTCTAAAAAATTATTAAGCCGTCCTCTGACAAATATGTATGGAGTTATGTGTTCGTGTCTCATAAGTCACAAACATTATGAATAACATTACAAATTATTTATTCAAACTTTTATCATTGCAAATATATTAAATAGTTTATATAACAACCATTAAATACCACTTTCAATATATTTATAAATAAAAAGTACATAAATTTTTGTTGTGTTCAACTTTAAATAACTTTTAATGGGCTCAGACATTTGGTCAAACGCATAGGTGTGTTCAAATTTAAATCATTGGCATTTTGATCGGTTGAAATTTAAATCATCTACCATGATACTGTGAGGTGTTGAAATTTAAATCATCTACCATGATACTGTGAGGTGTATTATATATATACAATTTTTTAACAAATAATATGTGCTTTATAAAAATAATAATAATAATTTCACAAAATTTTAAACGTAAAATTTGATTTTTAATCACAATAGAAAAATCATGGTAAGTTGTGTTAAAAAAGTGTTATGAGATAAAACAATTAACTAAAATAATTAAATAAAATACTTGATGGAAATAGAATGCATTAATTACCTTTAACTTTTCTTACTACTAATTCTAGTAAATAAAATGCCTTTTTATATAAGTATAGATTCCATACAATAATTAATGTTAATCGGGTATAATTAAGAGTGATTTTATGAAATTATTGTTAAATTACTATTTATAGGCAGTAATTAATGTTTTTGGCGGGAAATAGTTTCTAAAAATTAATTAAGTTAATCCTTATTATATATTAATAGATTAAAACTAGTACTAATATCCATATATAGGGCCGTCTCCAGAAATTCGGAGGCCCTAGGCAAGTTTTTTCCTTTCGAATTTTCTCGATTTGAACTTACGTGGTAATTAGGGCTATTCGCAGATAGAATCATAAATTTTAACGAGACTGTTAAATAAATAAATAAATAATTAAAAAAAAAATCTTGTTTTTCTTGAACTTGGAAATGATAAATTACCTCCGGACTACGAAGATTTTTAATAAATTACAATCAACTAATCACGAGGACAACAAAGAGAAGAAAATAAAAATCGTATCACTACAAAGAATATTTATTTTCACACAACTTGTTTTGACCGAACATCATAGGAAAAAAAATAAAATATTTAGGGCCTAAATTTTCCACACAAACTACATATTTTGCCATTAGCTCCTTCACTTGTGTAATGGCTCAAGTCGATATTTAGCCATTAACACTCTCATTTGTGTAAATATTGTGTAAATAGACAAAATCCAACACAAATACATAATATTAAAAAAATAATGAGACCTTATTTGTGTAGATAGACAAAACTCAACACAAATACATAATATTAAAAAAAAAAAAA